CCTGCAGCACTGGGGAGAAAGCTGGTGCCCTGAGGGAGCTCGGCTCCGGGCCTCTCAGTTTTCACAGCAGGGCAAGGCCACTTCTGCCTTGTGGCAAAAAGTGGTGCCCTGCCTGTGGCAGAGGGCAGGGAAATTTCTGAGGGGTTGCGGAGGGGCCGCCCTGTAGAGTCCCTGCAGCACTGGGGAGAAAGCTGGTGCCCTGAGGGAGCTCGGCTCCGGGCCTCTCAGTTTTCACAGCAGGGCAAGGCCACTTCTGCCTTGTGGCAAAAAGTGGTGCCCTGCCTGTGGCAGAGGGCAGGGAAATTTCTGAGGGGTTGCGGAGGGGCCGCCCTGTAGAGTCGGGGCAGAAGGGGGGGCGGGAGAAGCCGGCTCTAGGCAAACCCAGTCCCCCCCATAGCAGCGGCTCCTGTCTCACAGGGCTGGGCCTGGCTCCTGCTCTGGGTTTTGTGACCTGGCGCATGGGTCAGTGCTGCTCCGGATTCGGCAGCTCAGTGGCACTGTGACGTGGCAGCCGGGCCAGGCCTTAGCGTCACTAAGAGCTCGGGCCTGGTCCATCTCGGGGACCAATTTTTACATGTTCCTGACAAAACCAAGCTCCAAGCCCCTGGAACTAAAACCAGGTGGGATTTTGGATGAGCTTGAACTTTTCTACCTCGGTTAGATCATGGGTTCCCAAACTGGGGAGCGTGCCCCCCCGGGTGGTGTGAAGAAATTCTAGGGGGGCTAGGGGGCGCCCCCCCCCGGACGGTGTGAAGAAATTCCAGGGGGGGCACGAGGCGACCCAGTGCTCCCCCCCACCCGCTAATCTCCCCCCCACGTTTTGCTGCTATTTTTGGTAAATTTCCCTTCAGTTTTTTTTTTTTTTTTTTCCTTTTTCTTTTCTCTTTTGCTCAACAAGTTTTGCTGCTATTTGGGAGGGGGGGGGGGGCATGAGGGTTTTAAAAAAATCAAAAAGGGGGCGTGATGCTGAAAAATTTGGGAACCACTGGGTTAGATGGATGCCGGAGAGAGGGCGCCTCTCCTGAAGGCTCGAAATCACGTTCTGTCTCGGAACACATGGGGGTTAGGTCCATCAATATTTATTAGCGAGGGTGGGTAGGTAACTGAAACATTTGTTCTCGTGCGATCATCTAATTATAAAAATAAAATGACGAGCCTATCGCTGTTGCGCTTACGTGTCAACGTACGGTGTAGAGAGCAGGGCACACAAAGCACTGCATGAAATTGGAATGTGTGCTGATTTTGCGAGTGCTTTCGGTGTAGCCTGCTGCACAACTAGGCAAATATCTGGAGGAGTTGATGAACCCCCTGGAAGACCACTGTGTATTCCCAGAGATACGTGTACCTCTACCTGAGAACTGCCGGTTTAAACCACCCTGATGCTGGCTTTGAATGCTGTCACTGTGCAAACCGCAACAGCCCGGTTCATAGCTGCAGGCATGGAAATTTACCAGATCACAACGACAAACAAGAACAAATCACACATTTTCCCCTGAGTCTCTTGAAAGGTAAGGAGATTCCATTCGAGAGACACAGGGAGAGCCAGAGAACGGGGCGGTTTCATCATCCTCGATTTCCTATGCGGCTCTGAGTCAGCACAGCAGACACAGAGACGCAAAGTGGGTCAAGGCAGACAAGAGCCATGTGCTAGCGGCCACCGGTCTAATAATTCGTCATAGGTTTTCCTAAGGCCCCTTGCCCTGCGGCAGCTAGAGCCCTGTGCGGATACAGAAATGGGGATCCGCACCCGGGCCGCCTCCGCCAGGCTCAACTCATCATCCAAGCCGTACTCCGTGATCTGGGGCTTACTTGCCTCGGCACAGCAAACCGTTGGGGGCGGGGATGGTCTTGCCAAACTGGCCTTAAGCGTTCTGTAGACAGCTCCCTCGTGCAGGGGGCAAGCACCTCCTGTTTATATGGTGACGGGTTCGAGATCCTCCGGTCTCGTCACATGCAGCATTTCTCTTCAGCCCGCTTCAGTAAGCCGTACTCCGTGATCTGGGGCTTACTTGCCTCGGCACAGCAAACCGTTGGGGGCGGGGATGGTCTTGCCAAACTGGCCTTAAGCGTTCTGTAGACAGCTCCCTCGTGCAGGGGGCAAGCACCTCCTGTTTATATGGTGACGGGTTCGAGATCCTCCGGTCTCGTCACATGCAGCATTTCTCTTCAGCCCGCTTCAGTGTAGATCAGTGGTCCCCAACCCTGTGGGGCTGCCGGGCGCCCGGGGGCGGGGCCGCTCACATGCCGGGCACTTGGGAGCGGGGCCACACCTGTGCCCAGGGGCGGGGCCACCCATACGCCGCGCGCCTGGTGCCGGCGCCACCG